CATACATTGAAGAATATTTAATCTAAAGAGGGGTCAGGTTGCTACAAAAAAGAGACCATTTCAATAGAGAAAAGAGGGGGGACTCTATAGCTTCAGAACAGGAGCACAGCCCAGTCCACCAGTTTAGGAATGAAGGTGTTTGGCAGACACAGTTCTTTGGTTTGACTTAAACATAGATGATGAGCCAGGTAAGTACATCAGGCAGGAATATCATGTTTGAGGCAAAGGAAAATCATGAGCCAATGTACCCTATTCTAAGAGAATGTAGGTGTATTTGAGAAATTATAACCAGGTCTGAAATACTGTAACATAAATATCATTTTAAGGGATGCTTGTGATTAAGTCAAGGAAAACAAGTTGGGAATATGACAGAGAAGAAAAAGCTGTCTATTATTTGGTTGATCACAGTGGAGCCATGGACTTGCTTAAAAGAGTGATATGGCTAGGTTCATATTGTAGATAAATCACTATGGCAACAAGCAGAGGATGGTTTTCAGGGATGTAAAAAGGAGCCTTGGACTATATTTTAACTTGCATTTGTAATTTGCATTGGGGGGTGCAGAGGAGGGCAGGTGGGACTTCTGCAAATCTAGTTAAACTTACAGTTGAGAATTTTCATTAAGATACATAAATATATCTTACAGAATGGCACAAATCCTGCCCATGTTAAACTTATATAAGGTAAATCCATTTTTTTTTTGTTCATTATGGTGGAGAAATTGAGGTGGTTCAATAAAATATGGATGCAAAAAAAAATATTACAGTGAGTTTAAAATAAAATATTGTGAAGTCATGATAGGGTTTAACCACACTGTAGTTTTGTATTGCAGTGCATTTCTTCTTCTTCTTGGGTAATGAATAGAATAAAGTATGTGTGTGTGTGTGTGTGTGTGTGTGTGTGTGTGTGTGTGTTTGTATGTTGTGTGTATGTTTGTGTGGTGTGTGTATGTGTGATGCCTGTCATCTTCACTTTTGGAGTAAAGTTTCCTTGGACATTGAAACTTCTTCAAAAAGAAATCTGAAAATTATTATAGCTAAATATTGATTGTGTGCCAACACATTAAAAGTTCAGATACAGTTAAAACTGTAGAGATTCAATTTCATTAACAAATAAATTAAAGTATGCAAAATTGAGATTATAATTAGGATATTAATTTAGAAATGCCAGTGCTTTGAAATAAAGTAGTTTGGCAATATTTCTAAGAATGATCTGTAAGTTAATTAATTTATTTCATATAATAAAATAATAATGACAGTATTTTTTTTCCTCTTTTAATATTTATCTTTAGTCAAGGGGCATCAAGATTTTAAATATACACATCTAAAGTATTTTCCGGGAGGTTTTGGATATAGAAATAATTTTTCTTTCCACAGTGAGTCCACGTGATAGTTACTGTTCCCATTGTTCTGACATCTCACTAGCTTTGTGACTTTTGCTAATTGCTTTTACTTTCTGTCCTCTGGTATTATCTTCAAAATCATGATTTTACTTGATTATTTGGACTGTCATTCAACTTTTAATTAAATGATTTTCATAGCCTTGGCCTCATTTCTGGTTCTAAATTGAAATTCTTTCAATGTTCTCTGCCTAGTCTTATAAAGAAGTTATCATCCCTTCCACAAGCACTATATGTGAGTAAATGCACATATGCACTTGCGTGCGTCTCATGGGGTGACTCACTCTTGCAGCACACAATTGGAGTTCTACAACTGTGCCTCAGAAAATCAGCTGCAAACACTTGATTTTAGAATTTCTTAGGGTTGTTTATATTTCTTAACTACTTGAGTTAAAAAATAATTTAACACCATGTTGTCGAAATGCCTTTATTTGGGGGAGAATAATTCTAGATTGATTATCAATACATGATGTTAGATATTTGTTTTAAATTGCTATACATATTTGTGATCTTTTTCATCCTTCCAAAACCACCCCCCCAAAAAGAAAGAAAAAAGAGGGAGGAGAAAGCAAACAATGCATTATATAATTGTTACCCTTATATAATTAGGAGTCTGTTGCTACTATTTGTGAAACAAAACTTAGAAAACACATTGCTCATCATGTAAATCGCATGATTTTTTAAAAATCACAGCTTTTTAAAAACAAGAATCATGCTCCCCCTGGCCCCAGTCTTATCCAGGGACAAACTGGGAAGAGTGTGAGAAATAAAACTACGTCATATGTTGATATACATGAAAAATAATATCCATTTCTTTCAAAAAGCAAGTTACTTAATTTTTTTGGAGCCTGAGTTGTATTTTATGTGAAATTGACAAAAGTATAACAACAATAAGAAGACTGAGAATAATATTTACCTTAAATAAGAAATGCCCCCCCCCAAAAAAATGGCCCAAAATAGTATGCCTTACAGAAATGAATACTCACATCTCAGAAATTCTTAACTTTGTACTATATTCTGCATAAAGTTACAAATTATAAAAAAGATTGACATGATTAAAACAAGCAAACATCTGAGGAGTTCTCCCTATTGTTATTCTAAATCAGATAAATGTCAAGTGTCCACTCAGTGACATGATTCTTCATAAAAGTGATACAGAGAAGATCCTACTGTCAAAGAACTTGGCTCTAAAGTCCCTAAACACAGAAATCAATCAATCAATCAATTAGAAAAACATTGTGAAGACAGTTAGTTTCTAATTTAATCATGCTAAATACAATGTTTTTTTAATATCGATGCTGACGTTATTCCTACTGTTGGTTAAATTTCGGAGAGAAACCTTCCTCTTTAAGATTCCCCCCTCACCACCTGGAACCCAGCAAAAGCAATGCATTGAGTTGCCACCACCCTGCTCGTTATCTCCTGGCTGCGGAGCTGAGCGGGGCCAAGGGCCTCTGCAGTGGCTGGGGACTACTTTTCAGCCCGTTTATGTCAAAAGGACTTAGAATGATGCTTCTTGTCCAATTCCAACTACCACTGTGCTGTAACTAGTTACCCTAACATGGACGAGGCAGAAATGAAATGTATCCCTTATTGATGTTTGAATAAATAGTGTGGAGCAAAATTCTTTTATACGACAAGAAAAAATATCAATAAAAAAACCTTATGTGAATGAATAATTCATTTTTGATGATCAGCACAAAGTTAATTCCTATGAGGCAGACGTTAAAGCTATCCCAAGTGTTGAACTTTTTTTTGATACCCTTTCATCACCTGTAAAATCAAGGGCTCCTCCTGCACTCAGTATTTTACTTCTCTTCTTTGGGTTCCGTAATACGCTGTAAACTTTCACAAATGCATGGAGCACCCAGGAAATGGTTTACATAATTGTGGAAGCAGGTAAGTCTGAAATCCATAGGTCCAGCATTATTCTGAAGGCTGTTCCAGGCCCAAGGGGTTATAGAGGCTGAGAAAATCGAACAATAACCCTACTACAGGCTTTGGAGTCCACAGCTGAAGGCAATGATGATGAGTCTGATTGATGAAGGACCCAGAACAGGAGAGGAATCTTTGTCAGGCCATTCATATATATGTATATATGTGTGTATACATATATACATATATATATGTAACTCAAGATACAGGGCACCCTAATCCTGCTTTATTAACATAACAATTCCTTAACTCATATAGCAATTATGAAGCCATGGTGTGCCTTCTCAGAGAAAAGCAATTTAAAAGCAAAACCAAATGAAACAAAACCTACTATTACATAGAGAAAAAATCAAGAAACATAGGATCTTGAGTAGAAATAGAATTTTGGGTCCACTATATGGCAGATCATTTCACCGAAATAATAAACAAAACCCAAATTAAACAAAAACTATTTCCTCCACAAGCCTAAGCGTTGAATCTATGAGTTGTGGGATGTTTTTTCCCTCTGACTATTACCACTAAAAACGGAAGATACTGTCATCACATGAACTTCTCATTTATACATAAGAATGAGTTTATATTTATATGAAATATATGTGTCATGTATTAGCATATGAGCTGTGGGTGAAGCACTCTACTGTCATGGAGAGATCGGTTGTTAAGTCCACCACTCACTCCACAGGAGGATGACAGTCTCTTCGGCAGATAGTTACAGTGTTGGAAACCCCATAGGTCATTATGAATTGGGATCAACTCTATGGCAGTTAGTTTGTTGTGTGTGTGTGTGTGTGTGTGTGTGTTTGTGTACGTGTATAAATGTGTTTATGTATATGTTTATTATTTCAAATACATGACTTTATTACTATATTATTTCAGTATCTGCACAATACTTTGCACATCAACACTTAAGCATATTTTAATTCACTTATTGAAATGATAAATATCAAGTATTTTTTAAACTACCACATTTTATGTAAATGGACTTTTTCATGTACATGACTATTTCTATAACTATTTCATATTTAAATAATTATTAAATCTTGCTGATGTTCAGGTATATAATGTTTCATTGGTTCAGGAGTATCTATCTCTGATTATAAAACTATCTATTGTATTTTCAGAGACACTATTAAATTTGATATTTGGGGGTAAAAATAAAATGCAACAAAATATATAGCTGAGGAAATAGTAATTTTTTGAAAGATATTATAAAATCATTTGATTTTATTTCCATTTCATATCTCAGTCTGGTATAAAAAATCTTATAGAAGATGCAAAACAGACATTATGTCTACATATCCCAGAAATCTCTGTTGGGAAAGAGAAATATAGCTAGATTTAAGCAAGAAGAAGAAGGCCTTGCTTTTTCAAGTTCAAACAAAACATTTGAAACTTATTATTTGAAACATAGATTTGCTAAACTTTTCAAGACAACTAGTTTCAAATAACAGTTGAAATATTACCAGCATACAACAATACACAGTGCAAGAAAAATATGAACAAATATTGGTGAGAAAGATAATAATGGAACGGCTATTCATTTTGATATGATTTACACGAATTAGCATTTCTTGAAAGAGGTTACGTCCTATTGAAAATGCCTGGAAATATGTAGTAAAAGTAAAAAAATGGTTGCCAGTGCCAATATAATTAAAGGAGAATACTCACGTGCTCCGTGGCTAGCAGTGGCTTTCTTGACGGTTGGTTAGGTTGAAATCCTCGCAAATAGTATTTCAGCGTTTGCAGTGGTGGCGTAACATTTACACCAAAACGCGGGGGCGGGGTACATTTACAACCCAGTGCAATGGTGAGAAGGGCCTCCAGTGGTGCCTTGGGTAAGCCCGAGCCTGATGACTGAAAGCCTGGGGATTGAAAAGTCCGTCCAGTACTCCACCAGGGAAAGATGGTGACGATTTGTTTCCATGAAGACCGCAGACTTGGAAAACCGAGGGAGCACTTATCCTTTGCTTGCGAGGGCCGCTCTAAATCAGAACGGGCTCTACAGCACCTGAGTGTCTTTAAATCGTGAACGCCTCAGGTAAGAAGCACTGCTATCACAGAAAGACCACATGTGGGCGGCAGTTTTCTCATTAACTTATTTCTATGTATTTCTTCCCAGTTTAGGAGGTTGGAAGCCCAATTGAAGGTGCCAGCTGTCGAGGCGGGCTTGCTCTCTCTTGGCACTGGAGAAAGGTCCTTGTGATGTCACGTGGCAATCTCGGCCTGTCTTCCTCTGGGGGAGGAAGTTCTCAGCACAGGGAACCTGAGGCCAGAGCTCTCGGCTCCTGACTCAATTTCCGGGCGGTATCGGGGTCCCTCTTTCTCTGCTTGTTTCTCTCTCCTTTTATCTTTGGTGAGATGGAACATGATTTAGGGCACATTCCAGCAAAACGCACCTGATGTCGGATCAGGCTGGTGGTAGGTTGAGTAACAGGTTGTGTTCTACTCTAATCTTGCCTTAGTATAGCAAATAAAACATGATACTCCTTACCATACTGTTTCATTAGCACAGATAGGTCAGGATTTATAATACATCGAAACTAGAGGATTATCACATCATGTAGGTGATTACATCAGTACATAACGGTTAAATTATATTATCACATAGTTGCCAAACTACATAACTACATTACTGTCAAACTGAATTATTTCATAACTGCCAATTCACTGAGAATTTTGACCTAGCCACGTTCGCACACGTTTTTGAGAGGCCTTAATACAATCCGCAATAGTGAGGAATGAAATGTAAAGTTAGCCAGTAGGATTAAAGATTCAGGTGAAAATCTACCAAGGATTCATAATTTTATGGTATATATTGTATTAAGATCCAGGCCTTTAACTTTATCAAGATAGTTGTAAGTAGATCAAAATTATAAATTAACTTTGAAATTTAAAATATATTTGAGGAAATGGCATTGGGGCCCTGTCTGACCTCCGCCTATAAAAGGGGGAAGAATCCAAGATCATCTCAGCCCAAAGCTGACTGCCACCAAGTAGAAGTCAGACGTGCCTCTACCCTGTATCCTTCTCTTACCTTGGTCTGACACCCACCATGGACCCAGAATACGCTACCTCTTTGCTGGGTTTGATGATCCGATACAGACGCCACTCAGCACCAACATACTTGATTCACAATTATGGGTTTTTTTAGGCTGTTTAACTGGTTACAAGTCAGACTTTAAAAACAGCAAAAACCAAAAAGCACTAAGGAAACAGTTCTTAGATCCGGAGTGCTGCTTCTCAGCCACTGCCAGCTGGGTCTCCCTGGTCTTCTTCCTCTCAGTTATGTTGTCCCTAGGCGTCTGCCTTGCTCACCTGCAGGTAACAAAGCTCTTTCAGTGCTGATAAAGCGAAAGGGCAAATCCCAAGGACATTCCATTCTGAAGTCAGCCTCCTGCGCAAAGGCATTCAGCTTTCTTGTTCTGCCAGCCAAGACGCCCACGGCTCTGTCTCATGGTCTCAGTGCTAGGAGTTCTAGTGCTTTCTCTGCTGCCTCTGCCACTTGAGGCAGTGATCTCACATGCACTTTGCTGATAACTCTTCTTTCTCCATAGTCATACTTCGAAAATGGCTCTCTTTATATCCAGAAAGATGGCAAACCTGGCCAATCCCAGGCATCGTCTACAATGTGTTTGCATGCTTCCACAAAGTCATTTTGTGACTATGCTCAGAAAAGCCATATGAAGTAATTTCACTTCACCACCGTGGTAAAACAAATAATTGTATTTTATGCTTAACAATATAGAAGCCCAGGCAGCATTGGTTTGCTCAGCTCAAGGTCAACAGTTGGAGACTACTAAATGCTCCAGGAAAAGCATGAGACTTTTACTCCCATAAAGACTTAGTCTCTTCCTAGTAGATTTAGTTGATGCCTCACTTAGGCGGCTGCTTGTGTTAAGCAAGCCTTTAAGACCCCAGGTCAGTGGTTCTCAACCTTCCTAATGCCGTGACCCTTTAATACAGTTCCTCATGTGTCGCAACCCCCAAACATAAAATTATTTTCATTGCTACTTCATAACTGTAATTTTGCTACTATTATGGGTTGTACTGTAAGTATCTGATATGCAGGATGTATTTTCATTACAAATTGAACATAATAAAGCATAATTAAAGCATAGCGATTAATCGCAAAACAATATGTAATTATATATTGTGAAATATTTATGTGTTTTCCATGGTCTTACGCGGCCCCTGTGAAAGGGGTTGAGAACCGCTGCCGCAGGTGCTACTCTTTTCGACAACCGGCAACACCTGGTTTCTTCACCACATGTTGCTATGGCGCTTACATCTTCAGAGGTCTCTTCGGAAGGGAAAGTGTTGAGTAAGGTTCTCAATCAAGGGTTACCAATAATAAAGTCTGAATCTAAAAGGAGGTGCTGGCACCAGAACTTAAATTGTGAACACTTGGCTAGCTGAAGGCTGTGGATGATGGCGGAACCCCAAAGTCCATTTCCAGGGTCTCCATATGGATCAAGCCCTGGTGGATATCCTCTGACCATAATCCACGGGTGTGAATAGTCTTATCAGGCAGAGGGCATTGTAAAGCTGCTACAATAGATCTAGTTAGGTTAAAATGTAGTAACATCATTTAATACCCTTTTTGACCATTGTAGAGTTGTTTCAATTTTAAATATTTTCTGCTTTCTTTTCTATTGAGGTTTTTACTCTGTTTTGATTTACCATTGTTGTTGCTTCCTTACTGTTAGTGTTTTATAGGTTTTTCTGTATATGAATTCCAAGATAAGTATAACTATAGAGAAGCTAATTGGATTAATAATTACTTACGGGCATAGCAGGGTGGCTGGGGGAAAGCAGAGAGTTAAGAATAATGAGTATGAGAAGAAAATACAGTGAACCCTCGTTTACTGCGGTTAATCGGTTCTAGACCCTACCGTGATAAATGAAATTCCGCGAAGTAGGATTCCTTATTTGTAAATCAAATATTTTCATAGTTAGAGCATAGAGGACATGAAAAAACGCCCTTTAGTCACCATTACACTCGTATTACCCAATTTATTAAACGAAAAAGGGAAAATACAGTAAAACATTTTGGACGTTACAATTATCATTTATTATTTATTATATTATTTATGGCATTTAGTTTACAGTATTACAACTTGTCACAATGCGCTTTGCTTCCTTGTTGAAAGTGAAAGTAGCCGTAGCACGGATGTTTTTTTCCTCTTTACGGATGGAGCGAACGGAAGACTCATTCAAGTCGAAATGACGTGCAACCTCCACGATTTTCTTGCCATCTTTGATCATATCCAAAGTTTTACCTTTTCCTGGATGGTGAGCATCTTCCTCTGGCGCTTATTTTTATTGTCAGAAGGCTTAGAAGAAGAAGCTCGTTTAGGAGCCATCATAGGGCTTAGATAAAATTTCTTAAAAATCGCAAACAATTACAGTACACTGTACAAAAGCAAAAATGCATCTGATACATAGCTCTGATATGTAGCGATGCAGACAGAAGCGTGTACAGTATGAGCCAATCAGTGGCAGTAATGACAGAGCATGGCTGTTACTCAAAAACCGCGATAGGGTGAAGCCACGGAAGTCGAAGCGTGAAGTGGCGAGGGTTCACTGTACTCTGAAATTGATGGTAGCATTGATTATACAACTGTTCTTAATATGATTGAATAATTAAATTGTATGCTATGTCATATTCCAATACAATTATTTAAAAACAAAACAGACGACAGTCATGGAAACAACAAGTGCAGTTCCGTTCTGTCCTATAGGGCTGCGATGAGTCATAACTGACCGAATGTCTGTGAGCGCATTTGGAGCTATTTTGTCCTTACAATAAATAAGCTCCGAGGGTACTGTCATGTACGTGTTGGACACTAACCACCAGGTGGGCAGTAAAACACTACAAACCACTCCTGGGGGAAAGAGGAGGCTAGCTGCTCCTTTAAAGGTTTATAGCTTTGGAAACTGTCAGCAGGGTCGCTAGAAATTGTAACTGTCTTGATGATAGTGGGTTTGGTTTTTGGCATGGATGCTTATAATAGTTCTGAATAAGATGTGTGAAAGTACTTGACACAGATGAGAAAGAAAAGCTAGTCATGGGGCCCTACTTGCAATTTCAAAGAGATTATGACCCTGAGCAGTAGACAATATACATCATCAGTGGCAAAGACAGATAATTTTTAACATTTTTCCAATGAAGTGAAATAAATCTAGAGGAGTGTTTAAGACTTTGCTGTGTAGAATTCGCTTGAATTGGCATGTTTGCATATATATATATATATTTGAAGCCAAAAAAATGTTTTTGAAAAATGGCAGGAAAAAATGCTTCAATAGTGCCCATCTGGAGAAAATGTGCTAGTAACATCTGACATCCCGCAGGTTAACCCCATGAACAGAAGAAAAAGACTAATAGAATTAGGAAGAAAATATATTACGTGGAAAAAAGGAGCTCTGGTGGTACAGTGGTTGAGTGGTTGGCGGCTAACTAAAAGGCTGGGCGTTCAAATCCACTTACAGCTTCTGGGAGAGAAATGTGGCCCTCAAATTCCATCAAGGTGATCGACTTGGAAACGATGTGGAGCAATTCCACTCTGTCTGTGGAGGTCCTGAAGCATCAGGACTGACTTGATGATGAAGGGATATTATACATTTTAAAAACCCTGTATTATATTTATGTAACATTTTAAAATGGTTTCTAATATGTTAGATATATGCTATTTTTTCTATTGATCCTAAGGTGGCCTTCTTTTAATTAAGGAAATAATTGCATACAATAGTATGTATTGATAAGCTATTCAGTATTCTCTAAATTATACAGGATTTTAGAAACTGATATATATTTTAGTTTATGAAAATAGTAACATGATAACATGTTATCGATGCCTCTGCAAAGTATCAGTATGTCTATACAATTTATTATAAAACACAATATTTTATGAGAAAGTC